AGGCCACCGGACTCGGCACACCCCCTCCCCACCCACCGCGCCGCGGCCACGTGGGGGCCTGGCCGGAAGCGCCCCCAGCCCCCCTCCACGTGGGAGGGGGGATGAGACCCTCCGCTAGGCCGGATGCCGAAGGCCCTTGAAAGCTAGGGAACCGCAACTTAAAACGATATCCCCGGATGCGGAGCGTGCGGTGACCCCGTGTGCGGCGGGCGACCTCTAACCTCCTGTCGCCGACTTAGAGCCCTTTCCCCACCACAGAGCTGTGAAACACCGACCCAAAGCCGCCCCCCTCTCAAGGCGGCGCTTCAAGCGCTCACCTCCATGATGCAGTTCGCGGCCTCGGCTGCCGCCATCTTCACCCGCACCTAATCCTCCTCCGGCCGCCAAGACCCCCCCTTTCTCCTCACTCCCCCGGGACCGTCTTATACCAGAAGGTCTAGGGCCCGCCTACCGCGACCCCGCCGGAAGATTTCATTGGTAAAGGAGGCAGCCCGTCTGAGAATACCGTCTAGTTATTGGGTAGAGAAGACGTCGATCATAGGTCAGGGGTTTGCCAACTCTGGCGCCCAGAGTCCCGCCCCCTCAAGTCGACCTGGGATGGGGAAAACTGCCCGTCTATTGCAAAAAGCGCGACTGGTGATTGGGCAAAGTCTACATAAATGCCCGCCCCTTTACCCCAGCACCGCCTCAAAGCTTCCCGGCGAGCCCCGCGCTAAAGGGGCGTCTCGAAATGCCTGTCCATCACCAAAACGACCCGCCTCCTCATCGCTCCCATTGATTTATCCTAACATGACGTCACGCAGCCCTTGGCCCACCCTCGCCAAGCGGCCGGCTTCAAGGAGAACACGACGATTGGCCCAAGGGTAGTGAAGGAGGCGGGGTTTCAGGCACCACCGATTGGCTCAAAGGAACTCCCACTCCTCGAACACTCGGTGGATTTTCCCAGGCCGGGGAGGGTCTGGAGGAAAAAGGGGGCTTGTGCCCATTCTGGGGGGAAAAAAACTGAATCAGTGAGAGGAAGGGCCTGTCTGGGGTCCCTAAGCAAGTGAGGAATAGGTGTCCGCCTCAACACATTAAATCCTTATATCCTAGCCTTTGACATAATCATTCCAAGTTTGTTTTTTGTTTTTGTTTTTCTTTTCTTTTTTTTTTTTTGAGACAGAGTTTCGCTCTTGTTACCCAGGCTGGAGTGCAATGGCGCGATCTCGGCTCACTGCAACCTCCGCCTCCTGGGTTCAGGCAATTCTGCTTCAGCCTCCCGAGTAGCTGGGATTACAGGCACGCACCACCATGCCCAGCTAATTTTTTATATTTTTAGTAGAGACGGGGTTTCACCATGTTGACCAGGATGGTCTCGATCTCTTGACCTCGTGATCCACCCGCCTCGGCCTCCCAAAGTGCTGGGATTACAGGCTTGAGCCACCGCGCCCGGTCCTGTTTTTCGTTTTTTTGTGATGGAGTCTTGCTCTGTATCTCAGGCTGGAATGCAGTGGTGCGATCTCGGCTCACTGCTGTCTCCGCCTCCCAGGTTGGTTGAAACGATTCTCCTGCCTTAGCCTCCCGAGTAGCTGGGACTACAGGCGCGTGCCACCACACCCACCTAATTTTTGTATTTTCAGTAGAGACCGGGTTTCATTGTGTTGGCCAGGCTTGTCTTGAACTCCTGACCTCACGATCCACCCGCCTCAGCCTCCCAAAGTGCTGGGATTACAGGCCTGAGCCACCACACCAGGCCCATTCCAAGTTTTTTAAGCCCATCAACCCCTCTCCAGACTCTTGGTTTTTGCCAAGTCCCTACCACTGCCAGGAACTCCCACCTCTCTTTGTCTGGCCAGCTTCTCAACGTCAATTAGGGCGCAGTTTAGACACCACCTCCTCCGGGAAGCTTTCCTTGATCTGCAGAAATGGTTCCTAGTTGAATGAAGCTGAATGCAGAGAGCTGAATTCGTGGATCCTGCCCCTCCTCTCCGATCCCACCACTTCCCTCCGCTCACACTTTTCTCCAATCCCGAAATGAACTTGCTCTTTGGTCTCTGGGTGTCAGCGCAGGTGTGCCACTGGCAAACGCCTGAGACTTTAAAATTTCCAATAGGCTTCGGGCGCGGTGGCTCAAGCCTGTAATCCCGGCACTTTGGAAGGTCCAGGCGAGCCGATGACTTGAGAGAAGGTGTTGAAGACCAACCTGGGCAACATAGTGAAACCCCGTCTCTATTAGAAATACAAAAATTAGGCCGGGCGCGGTGGCTCAAGCCTGTAATCCCAGCACTTTGGAGGCCGAGGCGGGTGGATCACGAGGTCAACAGATCGGAACCATCCTGGTCAACATGGTGAAACCCCGTCTCTACTAAAAATACAAAAAATTAGCTGGGCATGGTGGCGTGTGCCTGTAATCCCAGCTACTCAGGAGGCTGAGGCAGAATTGTCTGAACCCAGGAGGCGGAGATTGCGGTGAGCCAAGATCGTGCCATTGCACTCCAGTCTGGGTAACAACAGCGAAACTCCGTCTCAAAAAAAAAAAAAAAAAGAAAAAAATTAGCCAAGAGTGGTGGCGCGTGCCTCTAATCCCATATACTCGGGAGGCTGAGACAGGAGAATCACTTGAATCCAGGAGGCGGAGGTTGCAGTGAGCCAAGATCATGCCATTGCACTCCAGCCTGGGCAACAGAGCGATATTCTGTCTCATAAAATAAATAAATAAATTAATTAATTTTAAAAATTGAAAAACGTGACACCAAAGAGACCAAGAAAAGGCCACTTGTGGCCGGGCGTGGTGGCTCAAGCCTGTAATCACAGCACTTTGGGAGGCCGAGGCGGGTAGATCACGAGGTCAAGAGATCGAGACCATCCAGGTCAACATGGTGAAACCCCGTCTCTACTAAAAATACAAAAAATTAGCTGGGCATGGTGGCGCGTGCCTGCAATCTTAGCTACTCAGGAGGCTGAGGCAGGAGAATTGCCTGAACCCGGGAGGCGGAGGTTGCAGTGAGCCGATCACGCCATTGCACTCCAGCCTGGGTAACAAGAGTGAAACTCTGTCTCAAAAAAAAAAAAAAGACACTTGTTTAACTGTATTTTGGCTGAAACAAGAGGAGTCCAGCTGGAAATGTGCATAACAGGTATTAAGATTTTTGCAGCTCTGCGCACAACCATGCCCTCCAAAACACCACAAAAGCACTGCCTTCATCTTGGGGGATATATCAGTACGTTTTAGCAAGGAGGCAAATTCGCAGATACGGAATCTACAAATACTGAGGATGGACTGTAATTGGTTCGGTTTGTAATCCCGTACATTTCTCTTTATGTTTACAGACATTACTCTGTGAAGTGGGATATAGCCTAAAAAGGAGACAAACCAAGCAGGGCGCGGCGGCTCATGCTTGTAATCCCAGCACTTTGGGAGGCCGAGGTGGGCGGATCACCTGAGGTCGGGAGTTGGAAACCAGCCTGACCAACATGGAGAAACCCCATTTCTATTTAAAAAAAAAAATTTTAAAAAGAGAGACAAAGTGACTCTTTTTTTTTTTTTTTTTTTTGAGACGGAGTTTCGTTCTTGTTACCCAGGCTGGAGTGCAATGGCGCAATCTCGGCTCACCGCAACCTCCGCCTCCTGGGTTCAGGCAATTCTCCTGCCTCAGCCACCTGAGTAGCTGGGATTACAGGCACACGCCACTATGCCCAGCTTATAATAATTTTTTAAAAAATGAGTCACGGCCAGGCACAGTGACTCATGCCTGTGATCCCAGCACTTTGGGAGGCCAAAATGGGAGGATCACTTGAGCCCAGGAGGTGTAGACCAGCCTGGGCAACATAGTGAGACCCCATTTCTACAATTGTTTGTTTTTGAAGTGGAGTCTTGCTCTGTTGCCCATGCTGGAGTGCAGTGGCATGATCTCAGCTAACTGCAGTCTCTACCTCTTGGATTCAAGTGAGTCTGGTGCCTCAGCCTCCCCAGTAGCTGGGATTACAGTCACTCACCAACATGCCCAGCTAATTTTTGTATGTTTAGTAGAGACAAGGTTTCACTACGTTGGCCAAGCTGGTCTAAAACTCCTGACCTCAAGTGATCCACCCGCCTTGGCCTCCCACAAAAATTCTTTTTTAAAAATTAGTATGGTGTCACATGCCTTTATACTAGCTACTAGAGAGACTGAGGTGGGAGGGTCACTTGAGCCCAGGAAGTTGAGGCTCCAGTAAGCCATGATAGTGCTACTGTATTCCAGTCTAGGAAACAGAACAAGACTCTGTATCTCAAAAAAAAGAGGGGGGGGATTGGGGGGGTGCGTGTGACAAACCACTGGTCTGTAGGCAGATGAGAAACCAGCAAAAAAAGACCCAAAAGGAGAAATGGGAGAAAAACAAGAAGAGGGTGGTGTCCTAGACACAGGTGAAATTAGACTATCCCTTCCTATGGAAATCACTGGAAAGACTCCACGGCCATTACACAGCATCAGCTAGAACAACCAGATCGTGCAATAGGAGGAAAAATCCAAATTGCTGGAATATTTACAGATATTCTCTCAGATACATGACATGTCCCGGAGACAGACTCTTGTAGGTGCCCCAAATAAATATTTGTAGAATGAACGAAGTGGTTCCTTCCTCAATGAGTGTAAGCCACGGAAATCTGACCCAAATCTTCTCTACTTAGAACTTCAGTTCTCTTTTTTTTTTTTTAATTGAGACGGAGTTTCGCTCTTGTTACCCAGGCTGGAGTGCAATGGCGCGATCTTAGCTCACCGCAACCTCCGCCTCCTGGGTTCAGGCAATTCTCCTGCCTCAGCCTCCTGAGTAGCTGGGATTACAAGCACGCGCCACCATGCCCAGCTAATTTTTTACATTTTTAGTAGAGACGGGGTTTCACCAAATTGACCAGGATGGTCTTGATCTCTTGACCTCGTGATCCACCCGCCTCAGCCTCCCAAAGTGCTGGGATTACAGGCTTGAGCCACTGCGCCCGGCCAGAACTTCAGTTCTCAAGTGAAAGAACAGACAATTGAATATTTGTAAAGCTTTTAATACGAAAAGTTTTAAACAATTTATTTTTGGCAAAAATAGGAATGGCAACCACCACCCCACAGTCCTGAGTGGAACAGGAAGGCTTGGAAAAGCACAGGCAGAGGGAAGGGACATGAGGTGTAATCTTGTAGCAGCTTCTGAGGCAGAGCTCAGTCCAATGGCAAGTTCAAGTCCACAGGTGAAACAGCCAGGATGCCCTCCTGGAAGGGAAAAGTGGCAGAGCCCTGTGAGCAGGTGAGCAGGGCAGGCACCCCATGCCCATAGCAGTGTGCACATCAGCCCAGTGAGATTAGAGTCAGGAAGGCGAGGAACCAGAGAGCAGAGAGCAACAGACACCCAGAGAAAGGGGCAGAGACCCAGACAGAAAGTCATAGAAATGAGGGGGACAGAGTCCTAGTGAGAGGAGGAAAGGCTGAGCACGAGGAGGGTCAGGATACTGGAGTGGGGTTAGACAGAGACCAAGAGAGAGTGAAGAGTTGGGGGACAGCATCAGAAAAGGGGAAGAGAGGGCCGGGCACGGTGGCTCAAGCCTGTAATCCCAGCACTTTGGGAGGCCGAGGCCATCCTGGTCAACTGGGTGAAACCCCGTCTCTACTAAAAATATAAATAATTAGCTGGGCATGGTGGCACGTGCCTGTAGTCCCAGCTACTAGGGAGGCTGAGGCAGGAGAATTGCTTGAACCCAAGAGGCGGAGGTTGCGGTGAGCCGAGATCGTGCCATTGCACTCCAGTCTGGGTAACAACAGTGAAACTCCCGTCTCAAAAAAAAAGAAAAGAAAAGGGGAAGAGAGTCCTGGGATTTGAACAATTCAGAGCTTCCTGTTCGTGTATAAATCCAGATTCCAGACCGGGTGCGGTGGCTCACACCTATAATCCCAGCATGTTGGGAGGCCGAGGTAGGTGGCTCATGAGGTCAGGAGTTCGAGACCAGCCTGGCCAACATGGTGAAACCCTGTCTCTGCTAAAAATACAAAAATTAGCTGGCATGGTGGTGTATGCCCATAATGCCAGCTTTACAGGCTATTCGGGAGGCTGAGGCAGGAGAATCGCTTGAACCTGGGAGGCAGAGGTTGCGCTGAGCCAAGATCGCACCAGTGCACTCCGGCCTGGGTGACAGAGCAAGACTCTGTCTCAAAAAAAAAAAATTCCAGATTCCAATACTCTGCATGATGGGGACCTTCCTTCTGTGCCCCCACAAGAGGATAATAAGAGCCCCATGGGGTTGTAGTGGGTTTAAATGGGATCATTCTATGGAAATCCCTGGCAGAGAACCTGACCCACCCACTGAGAAAGCTCACCTGCTATCAAGCCCATTAAATTTTTTTTTTTTTTTTAAGAAATTAGCTGGCCTGGTGGCTCACACCTGTAATCCCAGCACTTTGGGAGGCTGAGGTGGGTGGATCACTTGAGGCCAAGAGTTCTAGACTAGCCTGGCCAACATAGCAAAACCCCATCTCTGCTAAAAACACAAAATTAGCCAGTCACGGTGGTATGCGCCTGTAATCCCAGCTACTTGGGAGGCTGAGGCAGGAGAATCGCTTGAACCCGGAAGACGGAGGTTGCAGTGAGCTGAGATCACACCACTGCACTCCAGCCTGGGCGACAGAGTGACTCTGTCTCAGAAATACCATAAAATAAACGAGCTTCTTTGCTGAGCCTAACACTTATATCCAGTCCCCTAAACATGTGCTCTGAATTCTGATCTTACTCTGGACTGGACCATGTCCAGTCCTGCTCCCCACCCCCACTGCCTCCATCCCCACACCCTCCCCATCTCAGGGAACTCGGATGTCGCTTTGCAGCTGTTCGGGTCATCATCTTTTAGTCTATCCCTACATCTGGCCCATTAGCCACATCTGTCAGCACCACCGCTAAATTAAACCCAGCATTCTGCACTGCCCCAAACTTGGGCCTCATCAACTTGCCTCCTCCCTGCGCCCCTACTCCCACCCTCCCCGCTGCAGTCTGTCCCCAAGCGGCCGCAAGAGGGCGCCCGTTAGCACCGAAATCAGCGTCTGTCCCTCCGCTGCTGGGAGACCTTGGCTTACCCAGTCAAAGTCCAAGTTCTTAACGTGACCACAGGGTCCTGGCTGGCCCGGTGTCTCTCCTGCTGTCACCTCTCGCCTGCTCACCCTGCTCCAGCCCTACTGGCCTCCTCCTCCGTGTTCCTCAAACACACTTGGCCAGCTCCTGCCAGGGAAACCGGTTCCATGGAGAGCCTGGCCTGGGTCCCTCTCTTCATGAATACCCACAGCGACCCCCAGGCAGGTAAATGAGACGGTGCCCACTGCACCAGCTGGGAGAGTGTCACTCAGGGAGACTGGACAGTCACCAAGCCACAGGGCCTGCACACTGGAGCCCAGCCCAACTCTGAAACAGGCACTGGAGATCAAGTCAAGTGAACAAAATGCGGGGGGAAGACCTCTGGGTCTTCTGTGTTACAGGTGGGAGACGCTCCAACAAAGAAAAATGAACGGCCCAGCACAGTGGCTCACAGCTGTAATCCCGGGTACTTTGGGAGGCCGAGGGGGGTGAATCACAAGGTCAGGAGTTCAAGACTAGCCTGGCCAAGATGGTGAAACCCCGTCTCTACTAAAAATACAAAAATTAGCCGGGCGTGGTGATGGGCACCTGTAATCCCAGCTACTTGGGAGGCTGAGGCAGAGAATTGCTTGAACCCGGGAGGCGGAGGTTGCAGTGAGCCTAGACCATGCCACTGCACTCCAGCCTGGGCAACAGAGTGAGACTCTGTCTCAAAAAAAATAAATAAATAAAATAAAAATGAACAAGAAGATAAATAAAACAAGTCAATTTCACCATCTGTTAGAAGGCACAGAGTGCTATGAAAGGGAGAGTAAAGCAGGAAGGGGGAAGGAGGGCAGTGGAGGGTGTGGAGGTGGCTGTGATTGTCACTGGGGACCTGGGAAGGCCTCGCTGGGCGTGAAACCAGAACCCACCAGAAGGAGCAGAGGGAGGAGGTGGGGGGTTCCGGCGGCGAGGGGGGCATCCTGGCAGGCACTGTTGGAAAGGCAGTGGGTAGCCATGTGATCACACCACCAAATGCCTGCAGCATGCCAGCCAGTGCACAGAGGACTGACCAGGGTGACCTGCAACCCTGTGAGGCAGCACGGACTACTCTCCCTACGTTCTTTTTTTTTTGAGACTGAGTCTTTCTCTAGCTCCAGGCTGGAGGGCAGTGGTGCGATCTTGGCTCACTGCAACCTCTGCTGCCCAGGTTCAAGCAATTCTCCTGCCTCAGCCTCCCAAGTAGCTGGGATTACAGGCACCCACCACCAAGACCAACTAATTTTGTATTTTTAGTAGAGATGGGGTTTCACCATGGTCAGGCTGGTCCCAAACTCCTGACCTCAAGTGATCCATCTGTCTCAGCCTCGCAAAGTGCTGGGATTACAGGCATGAACCACTGCACCCACCTTTTATATTATTTTTTGTTTGTTTGTTTGTTTTGAGATGTAGTTTCGCTCTTGTTACCCAGGCTGGAGTGCAATGGCACGATCTCGGCTCACCGCAACCTCCGCCTCCTGGGTTCAGGCAATTCTCCTGCCTCAGCCTCCTGAGTAGCCAGGATTACAGGCACACGCCACCATGCCCAGCTAATTTTTTTGTATTTTTAGTAGAGACGGGGTTTCACCATGTTGACCAGGATGGTCTCGATCTGTTGACCTCATGATCCACCCACCTCGGCCTCCCAAAGTGCTGGGATTACAGGCATGAGCCACCGCACCCCGCCTGTTTGTTTTTTTTCAGACAGAGTCTCACACTGTCGCCAGGGATGGAGTGCAGTGATGCAGTCTCAGCTCTCTGCAACCTCTGCCTCCCAAGTAGCTGGGATTACAGGGGCCCGCCACCATACCCAGCTAATTTATTTTTATTTTTATTTTTAATAGAGACAGGTTTTAGTAGAGACATTTCACTATGTTGGCCAGTCTGGTCTTGAACTCCTGACCTCGTGATCTGTTGGCCAGTCTGGTCTTGAACTCCTGACCTCGTGATCTGCCTGCCTTAGCCTCCCAAAGTGCTGGGATTACAGGCATGAGCCACTGCGCCCAGCCTATTATATTATTTTTTTGAGATAGAGTCTTGCTCTGTTGCCCACGCTGGAGTGCAATGGCACAACCTCAGCTCATTGCAACCTCTGCTTCCCAGGTTCAAGTGATTCTCCCGCCTCAGCCTCCCAAGTAGCTGGGATTACAGGCAACCACCACCAAGCCCCGCTAATTTATGTACAGTTTTAGGAGAGACTGGGTTTCACCATGTTGGCCAGGCTGGTCTGAAACTCCTGACCTCAGGTTACCCACCTGCCTCCTCCTCCCTGTTCCTCAAACACACTTGGCCAGCTCCTCCCAAAGTGCTGTGATTACAGAAGCTGGCCCCAGCTAATTATTTTCAATTTTTGTAGAGACGGGGTCTTACAAGCTGGTCTTGAACTCCTGGCCTCCAATGATTCTCCCGCCTTGGCCTCTGAAAGTGCCAGGATTATAGGCGCGAGCCACCTAACCCAGCCTCTCCCTGAGGAGAGGTTTCACATTCACAACGTTAGCGCACCCAGTGGTTGATTCCAGGCATAGCATCCGCACTCATCACTGCAGTCCTGGCACACAGCGAGAGCTCAACACAGAACCAACACAGTGGAGCTGGGCGAATACCTGAGCTCTGAGAGGAAATCTAAGAAGCCCCCACCCCTCCTCTATCTCATGACAGTTGGGTAAAGCGAGGCCCAGAGAGAGAGGCTTCAGTGGCTCACCCAGCCCCCCTGGGCCTGGATCCAGGGCGTGAAGCTGTGCACGTGCTCCACGCTGAGTCCGGCCAGGGTGCCCCCCAGCCCGGCCACGCGCCGGCTCAGCTCCATGGCCAGGGCCAGGCGGGCCAGGGGCTCCGGAGAAGGAGGCGGGGGCCCAGGGCATGCTGGGCTTGGGCGAGATCGGTCCTCCCGGCTGCAGAACAGCTCCACCAGGCGAGTGAAAGAGCCGGAGGACAGGCGGACCAGCTTGCTGCGCAGGGCGGGGTCCGAGGCCAGCTGTGGGGTGGAAGAGGCAGGGTCAGCGTCAGCTGCGCCCCAGGGACCAGCCAACATGGAGCTGGGAGGCGTGGTTCCCCGGTTCAGGACACTTCTAGATGCTAAAACTCTAGGCCATCCCTCATTCATATCAGCCAATCACGTCAGACTCTAGGGTCTCGGCCAAACTACCCCCAGGATACGGGCCGGGAACCTGAGTTGCTAAGCCACGCCCCTTTCCTTGCCGCCACAGCCGATCAGGGTCAATCTCTGCTGTAACTGAGTTAATCTAGTCACGCCCCCAGTGCCCTTTCCCAGGGGCCAACCTAGTGTCTACAACAACCTTGCCCTCTACCATTCAATTAATACGAGAGGTTCATGTATCCTGCCCAAGCTCCCGAGCCAATAGATTTCAAGACACAGCCACAAGCCACGCCTCCTAAGCCAGGCCACATCCTATGCTCAGTGAGATTTTAGACACTCCCCCAATCCCCACATTCATTCTTTCCCGACTTGGCCAATCTCTTCCAGACCATGACCACACCCTCTGCATTTAGGCCACGCCCCTCTAACGATCAAAACCCCTAATTTACAGTACAGCACTATCCTAACCACACTGCTGTCATTCAACCATTCTTTTTTCTTTCTTTGTTTTTGAGACAGAGTCTTGCTCTGTCGCCCAGGCTGGAGTGCAGTGGCAGTATCTTGGCTCATTGCAACCTCTGCCTCCTGGGCTCAAGTGACTCTCTCGCCTCAGCCAGCTGGGATTACAGGTGTGAGCCACTGCACCCGGCTAATTTTTGTATTTTTAGAAGAGACAGGGTTTCACCGTGTTGGCCGGGCTGGTCTTAAACTCCTGATCTCAGGTGTTCCGCCTATCCTGGCCTCCCAAAGTGCTGGGATTACAGGCGTGAGCCACCTCTCCTGGCCTCAACCCTTCATTAAACGTTGTCCTACCCTCTCTCCACTTGACCATCCAAAGAAAATACAGATCTAGCTTCTGATCCCAGTGCCCCACCATTCCGTAACTCCTGTCCTTGCCAAGGGGTGGGACAGACGCCCATCACCTTTTGGTTAATGACTTCTGCCTCCTCCTCCAGCAGGGCCACCAGCCTCCGCAGTAGGGCTTCCTTCTCTGTGAGCGGGGGACCCTGTAACTCTGCAGGCAGAAGAGAATTTGGCTGGGGGCCAAACCCTGACTATCCTCCTACCCCCATCCTTCTCTGGGGCCCCTCTGCGCCTCACCTGGGCTAGATGGAGATTTTAGTTGCTCTTCAACCAACTGTTCTAGCCGCTGGGCCACCAAGGCATAAAAGTCTGGAGTAGCTGGGCCTGGGTAAAGAGAGTTCATGACAGGATTCCAGGACACTGGAAACATAGATTCTCTCCTTCCCCCGACTACTTTGGCAGGTGGCAATGATTCTCATTTTATAATGGGGTAAACTGAGGCCCAGTGAGAAAACTTGGTAAAAAATGTCAAAACCCTTGCACTTTTCACTTTATCATATCCTCAGACTGGACTTAGAACGTCAGAGTTGGCCGGGTGCAGTGGCTCATGCCTGCAATCCCAGCACTTTGGGAGGCCAACATGGGAGGGTCACTTCAGGCCAGGAGTTTGAGGCCAGCCTGGCCAACATGGGAAACCCTGTGTCTACTAAAAATGCAAAAATCAACTGGTATGCTGGTGTGCACCTGTAATCCCAGGCACTTGGGAGGCTGAGACACAAGAATCGCTGGAATCCAGGAGGTGGGGGTTGCAGTGAGTCGAGATTGTACCACTGCTCTCCAGCCTGGGTGACAGAGCAAGATTCTGTCTCCAAAAGATGGTCAGAGCTGAACTAGACCTCGAAGATGATCTCATCCAAGGAAGGCAAACACAAGACACTACTGTTAGTATCCCCTTCCCTCACCCACTTCAGACATCACCAATTGATCACAGCACTTCCTCTCCCTAGCTGTGAACCGCTTTCAAGCTAGCACTCCCAGCAGCCATAACTAGTGCATCCAGGTTCACACCTACGAGGAAGCTTGTTGGTTACTCTTGATCAAGTCCAGTGATCTCCTCTCAATTCCTACACTGTTATGGAAAAACAGGGGAGCCGGGCAGCAAGCATTTTCCCTAGAGTCACACAACTAAAACAGCCAGGGTGACGTGATGGAAAACCTCTCCTGCCTCTCTATCAGGGGTATTCCTGGCTACAAAAGTCCTAGGGCAGGGAAGTAGTTATAGAAGCAAAGAGACAACAGCCAGAGCGACCAAATGCTCTCTGAAAACCAACCCACAGAACTGGCAGAAATCTGACTAGGGAGGGGAGAGGACAGGTTCCGTCCTGAAGGCTGGTGTCAAAGACTCCACAAAGCCACTCACTAGCTGAGTGATCTTCTATTTTTTTTTTTTTTTTTTTTGAGACAGAGTTTCGCTCTTGTTACCCAGACTGGAGTGCAATGGCGCGATCTTGGCTCACCGCAACCTCCGCCTCCCGGGTTCAGGCAATTCTCCTGCCTCAGCCTCCCGAGTAGCTGGGATTACAGGCACGTGCCACCATGCCCAGCTAACTTTTTGTATTTTTAGTAGAGATGGGGGTCTCACCATGTTGACCAGGATGGTCTCGATCTCTTGACCTCATGATCCACCCGCCTCGGCCTCCCAAAGTGCTGGGATTACAGACTTGAGCCACCGCGCCTGGCCTATTTTTTTTTTTTGAGACAGTCTTGCTCTTGTTGCTCAGGCTGGAGTGCAGTGGCACAATCTTGGCTCACTGTAACCCCCGCCTCCTGGGTTCAAGTGATTCTCCTGCCTCAGACTCCTGAGTAGCTGGGATTTCAGGCACCTGCCACTATCGCCAGGCTAATTTTTGTACTTTTAGTAGAGATGGGGTTTCATCATGTTGGCCAGGCTGGTCTTGAACTCCTGACCGCCTGTGATCCGCCCACTTTGGCCTCCCGAAGTGCTGGGATTACAGGCATGAGCCACCGTGCCTGGTCATAGTTAAATAATCTTAAACTACTACCTTATCCCATGTTCTGCCACTTTCACAGATGATCATGGAAATCTCTTACCAGGCTCTGAACCGTAGCAGGGGCGGATGGGCAGAGAGCAAGGCCGAGGGGACTCAGGGGGGGCTGCTCCTCGCCCCAGGGAGCAGGGAAGACATCTTCGAAGGCGGCTCAGGAAGTCTGTTGGCTCTTCTGGGGCAGGGCTTCTGGGGAGGAGGACTTCAGAGAGTGACCCCACCAGAGATCCTCTGTAAGTCACTTTTCTCAACTCACTCCCTCCCCCACTGAGGACCTCTCTCCAAAACCCCAAAGACAGAGAATAGAGTCAGATATAAAGAGAGGAGAGAGACTGAGACCAGGAGCAAGAGTTAGGAGGGGGCCTCAAATCCTGGCCCCTCGGGGAGAAGCACAACTCCTGTTACCTGGGTGAAGTTGCAACAGGAGACCCGGCAGTCTCACCACGCCTGAGGAAGGCAGCTAGGACCCTCAGCGTGTCTTCCCGGAGACCCAGCTCTTCTGAGCCTGCCATGGAGGCACCTATGAGAGAGGGGGCTAGGGACTGAACTCCAAGGATTTATCGAGAAGTGGAGGCTTGAGGACCGGGAGTTGTGAGTCCCAAGGAAGGTGATGAGGGCCCGGACTCCTGGGTCCTTTGGAGAGTGTGGGTCTGGGCGCTTAGACTCTTGAGTCCTCAGACAGAAGAGGGAACAGGACAGACTCATTAATCCAAGGAAAGCTAGGGGGTGGGTGCCCAGATTCGTGGACCTAAAGGAGGAGGGAGCTAGGGTCCTAGATTCCTGAGTCTTAGAGAGAAAGGAACTGGAGCCCCTGACCCTTATGTCTCCCAGGGAGAAGGGGCTTAGCGCCCCAACTCCTGGATTCTGAAAGAGGTATATGCCGAACTACTCAAACTCTTAAAGCATCGGGAACTACCAATCCCAGCAGGCTTTACGGCAAATCTTCTCCTCGGTCCCCGCTTCTTCGCCGCACAGCCTGCTGGGAGGTGTATTTCCAAATCTCCTGCTCCTGGAATATACACTTGGATGTCGGAGAAGCGGGACTGGGTTCTCACTCCTGCATCCCGGCCGCCTCCTCTTCCCTCCACACCCCGACCCTCGGCAACACTCCGCTGACCTGGTCCGGGGCCCCACCGCCGCCACCTCCACTCAACTTGCCGCCTTCTTCACTCAACTCGTACAAAACTTTCTAGGTCAACTTTCCCGCGCCTGCGCACTGGGCCGGGTGGGTAACCGGCCCAACGTAGAAAAGGCGGAACGCTGGCTGCACGCTCAATTTGCATTTGACGCTCCCAGCATGCCTCTGGCCGGAAAGCCGAAAAAGGGCATGGGGGCGGGGACAGCCCGGGCCCTACGGCCTGTCCCTTCGGCTCTGGGTTCTGTCACTCAAAGAATGATAAAGTTGTTTTTATTTCAAGAAGTCGTTGGAAAAGAAAGTCCCAGCGCTCTAGAACTCAGCTGACGGGAAAGCGGGTGTTCAGCCTCGAGTTTGAGAGCTACCCGGAGCCCCAAGACGGGTGGGCTCCAGCTCCCCGCACGCCCCGACCTTCCATCGTAGGTAACGCGGAAGAGCCCGGGAGAGCGTTGGTGGCGTTCGAGAACGAGGAGCGGGAAAGATGATGGGTCTGTACGGAAAGTGGAAAGGCAGGCTGTATAATCTGGGGAAAGTGGAGAAAGGAGGGAGTGGCCGGCGCTGGAGGTCTGTTGCAGAAAAACTAGAAAAAGTAGGGAGGGAAGAGAAAGAGGAGGCGTCTACACTGAGGGAGATCTAGAGAGGGAGGGGTGGACTCCGCAGATGCGGGCAGTTCGCTCTCGAAAGCTGAGGCGTGCTCTGGAGGAGGGAGGCTGGCAGTCGAGGGAGCATTGTGGATGGAGGTTCTGCGTTGGAAGTAGGTAGGGGATCTTCTCTAGGGGGACTGTGGAAGGGGGTCTACACTGGGCTAAGTGCAGGCGGTAGAGGCTTACAAGTGAATCGATTCTGCACTGACATAGCTAGGGAAAGAGATGTTACCCTGAAAGTGGGGTTACTTGCTTTCGATATGGGGAAAGAGGGGGTCTACACTGGCAGAATTGAGGGAGTGGAGGGTCTGTACTGAAGTCGCTGGGGAAGGGTGTGCCATGGATAGGGGAAGGAACCCTAGCTGATTAGGGAGCCTCTCTGGCGGATGGGAGGATGGGAAGAGGAGGTTTCCTGTTTGTACCCCCGAAAACATGGGTGAAGGACCTGTGCCGTAGCCCATGACAGGGAGTTCTGGGCGCGGAAACTCCAGGCCAGGTGGGTCCAGGAGAGGCCGGCCGCGCCCAGGAAATGCCCTGTACGCGCAGGCCGGACCATGGGAACCCCAAAGCCACGGATCCTGCCCTGGCTGGAGTTGCAGCTGAATCTGGGGCAGCTGGAGGGTGTGGCCTGGGTGAATGAGAGCCGCACGCGCTTCCGCATCCCTTGGAAACACGGTCTACGGCATGATGCACAGCAGGAGGATTTCGGAATCTTCCAGGTGCGTGCGACCAGGGACGCTGGAAACCAGGAGCTGCGCGCTGGGCGGGAAAGACTCCGAGAGGCAGGGTTGAGAAGGCGGCGGTAGCGCGCGAGGGGCGGGCTCGTGTCAACGCTGGTGGGTGGGGCCAGAACGGGAGGGGCGGGGCTAGCCGGATCAGCTGACTGATGGGGGCGCCGGGAGGGTCGGAGTTGCCGGTTCCGGGAATAGAACTAGAACTGGGAGAGCCGGGTTAGTACGCAATGAAAATGCATCCTATGGGTTTGGAGCTCTCTAGGGGCCGGGGTTCCTAGTAGTAGGATCCTGGGGGATTGTTCTTGAAACATCAGAGGTGAGACTTGGAGCCCCAAATCTGGGGTTCCTAACCACCGAATTAGTATAAGCCAGACGTGGTAAACAGTGTGAGGGACGAGGTTATCACCGAGGGTGTCCTGAGGCAGGTGGTGCACGGGGTTAGTAGGACTTGAAAGCCTGGCTTAGAAAGAAAAGGTTTTTGGGGGGCGCGGTGGTTCACATAGAATCCCAGTACTTTGGCAAGGCCGAGGCTAGAGGATCGCTTGAGCCCCGGAGTTTGAGACCAGCCTGGGCAACACAGGCCCCGTCTCGTTAAAAACAAAAGAGGTTTCAAAGGCTTTTGAAGAGGCGGGGCGCGGTAACTCACGCCTGTAATCCCAGCACGTTGGGAGGCTGAGGCAGGCAGATCATTCTAGAAAACTAGAGGTGGGGATGGAGGTAGGTGGGATGGGGGGATTTGGGGATGGACCTTGCAGAGTTACAACTTGCCAGGGAAAGAGGGTGGTGTTAGGATGCCGGAGACAGGGTTGGGGCTCCGGGACAGGATCTAGGTCGTCCTCTCTCACTATCCTCACACCACTGTTGCCCCAGGCCTGGGCTGAGGCCACTGGTGCATACGTTCCCGGGAGAGATAAGCCAGACCCGCCAACCTGGAAGAGGAATTTCCGTTCTGCCCTCAACCGCAAAGATGGATTGCGTTTAGCAGATGACCGAAGCAAGGACCCTCACGACCCACATAAGATCTACGAGTTTGTGAACTCAGGTCTGCCAGATCGGGGTCAGTGTGGGAGGCTGGGGTCCCAAGGGTTCCTGGCACCCCTAGCCACTTCAACACCTTTCTCAACAGCAGTTGGGAACTTTGCCCAGCCAGACACATCTCCAGACACCAGTGGCGGAGGCAGTACTTTTGATACCCAGGTAAGAATGTGCCCAACCTTCACGCCCCCACTGTCTGTCCTGTTCCCATGGACTCATCCTCTCCCTGTGGACCAGTGCGCCTCCCTCACCTCGTCTGCCCCTCACCTGAGCCAGTGCTGGCCCTGTCTGTCCCATGCTCCAGTCTCCTCAGGAGAAAATTCAGTCTTCACTTGGCATTGAAGGCACTCAATTTGCATTTGACACGCCTTCCCGGGATTTCCTGTAGATCCTTGATTGGCGGGGGGAGGGGGGGAGTGGGGGGACGGCTGTCTGTCAGCCTCTTGGGAACTGAAAACCTCCCTCCCTCCCCTTGATCCTGCCGCTGTCAGAGCCAGGGGAGCATCCCCTCTGAAATTCTGCCCAGGCCTTGCCTGCAGAAAGCCAGATCCTGGGGTTGGAATGGTAGCATGTGGCATTCATTAGAGTGTCTATTTGGCTATTGATGCCCGTGGCTGCCACTGTCCCCAGACTGGAAGCCCTCTGAAAGCAGAGCTCAAGCCTGACCTCCCTGCACTGCTGAGAACAGACCTGGTCCACATTTAGTCTCCAGAAAAGGCTGTGGAAATGCCTAATTCTCTTTTTGTTTCCCTCTAGGAAGACATTCTGGATGAGTTACTGGGTAACATGGTCTTGGCCCCACTCCCAGATTCGGGACCACCAGGCCTGGCTGTAGCCCCTGAGCCCTACCCTCAGCCCCTGCTGAGCCCCAGCTTGGATAATCCCACGCCCTTCCCAAACCCGGAGCCCTCTGAGAATCCACTGAGGCGGCTGCTGGTGCCGGGGGAAGGTGAGGGTCAGCTGCCGGATAGGAGGGGCTGAGGTCTGGGTAGCAGTCCCTGACACTCTCTCAATCCTTCTCCCCTTCACGCTGCTACTGCCGCTGCTCAGAGTGGGAGTTCGAGGTGACAGCCTTCTACCGGGGCCGCCAAGTCTTCCAGCAGACCATCTCCTGCCCAGGGGGCCTGCGGCTGGTGGGGTCGGAAGTGGCAGACAGGACGCTGCCTGGATGGCCCATCACACTGCCAGACCCTGGCGCATCCCTGACAGACAAGGGCGTGATGACCTATGTGAGGCACGTGCTGAGCCGCCTGGGTGGGGGACTGGCTCTGTGGCAGGCCGGACAGCAGCTCTGGGCCCAGCGGCTGGGGCAGTGCCACACGTACTGGGCAGTGAGCGAGGAGTTGCTCCCCAACAGTGGGAATGGGCCTGATGGCGAGGTTCCCAAGGACAAGGAAGGAGGCGTGCTCGACCTGGGACCCTTCATTGTAGGTAAGTGAGATGGGGGCTTTGCCCTGCCCAGGAGGAAGCAGCCCATTAGTGGTTAAGATCTCAGGATTAGGACTGAATTCAGACCCTGGCTGTGCTCCTCCGACTGTATAACCCGAGGGAAAGGACTTTGCCCTGAGCCCACGGAATCCGAGGACGGTCTCTTCTCTCTACTTGCCTGCCAGCGCTGGGGTGAGACCCAGGCCGAGTACGTAGAGCGTGCTCAGGAATTAGCTCCCACTGTCACCATCATCGTAACTAATGATGGTGGATAGAGCAAACAGCAGGAAAGCTGCGTGCCTTAGGGAGTCGCTCTGCGGCGGAGCGCTCCACGATGATGGAAATGGCCACCTACGCTGCCTGGTACAGCAGCCACTAGCTACAGGGCCCAAGCACTCAGGTGAGGCCCGTGCCACCAGGACGTGGTTCGCTTTAATTAGTTACAGTTTAAACTTAAGTGACCTCACATTGCCGATGGCTGCAATTAGTGCAGCCTTAGAGGAGACTAAATGGCAACCAGCTTCTCCAGATTCACTGAGCATCCTTGGGGGAATGGGCCCCTACTCTGGACCTGTCATGAATGCTGAGGCTTGGGGGCTGGGGGGGTTCAACCTTCCAACAATCCCACCCTGACGGGAGGGAGGGATTAAGTACAAAAACAGGATCATGGGGACTTTCCCCAAACAAGCATTCCCTGGTGGAGGTAGCAGAGGGCCTCAGGTCGGGGGAGGTAGGGGGTGCTATTTTCAAGTTTATGGGGAAGCAGGGGTAGAGGGACCTCTTCTCACCCCTGACTAGGCTTCTGGGTTCCCAGATCTGATTACCTTCACTGAAGGAAGCGGACGCTCACCACGCTATACCCTCTGGTTCTGTGTTGGGGAGCCATGGCCCCAGGACCAGCCATGGACCAAGAGGCTCGTGATGGTCAAGGTGCCTGTAGCCCTGAGTCCCTGGGGCTGAGAGGGGTGGCCTTACAGAGGGAAGAGGCTGCTCCCAGGAACTGCAACTCCCAGAAGGCCCTCCAAAAAGCTGCAACTTCCAAGAGCCCTGCAGTAACCAGCTGTTCATCCCCAGGAGCTCCTTCCCATGGCCCCACCAGCAGAGCCTGTTTTCAACTTTCTAAACCAGCAGTCCCCGAGCATTTTGGCACCAGGGACCAGTCTCATGGAACATAATTTTTCCACAGAAAGGGAGGGGGTGGCTTTGGGAAGAAACTGCCCCACTGCAGATCATCAGGCATTAGATTCTCATAAGGAACAATCTAGGTCCCTCTTGTGCACAGTTCACAAAGAGTTTGTGCTCCTGTGAGAATCTAATGCCACCGATCTGAGAGAAGACCGAGTTCAGGCAGTAATGTTCCCTCACCCACTGCTCATGCCCTGCTGTGCCCTGGTTCCTAGCAGGTGATGGGGTTGGGGACCCCTGCTCTAAACCATGTAGAAGCTGGTGGACACCAAGTCCTAGCTGCCATTGTGAGGCCATGGCTGTGGCTCCAGGAGTCAGGATCATAGATTGCTCAGCCTTGACTCCTGGGAGCACTCTGGCCTGGCACACGCACACGCGTGTGTGTGTAAAGAGGGGAAACTTGGCCGGGCGCGGTGGCTCAAGCCTGTAATCCCAGCTACTCAGGAGGCTGAGGCAGGAGGATTGCCTGAACCCAGGAGGCGGAGGTTGCAGTGAGCTGAGATCGTGCCATTGCACTCCAGCCTGGGTAACAAGAGCAAAACTCCATCTCAAAAAACAAAAAAAAGGGGAAACTACAACTCCCAGCAGCCCAGGGCCTATGGTTCATCCTGGCTTACAGCGGGGGCTGAAGGGAGTTGTAGTTCTCCCAGCCCTGACTCCTACCTCGGTGGACACTGGCTGGGTGTTTTCCCTGACTCCTGTCCCCACTTCCCCCACAGGTTGTGCCCACATGCCTCAGGGCCTTGGTAGAGCTGGCCCGGGCAGGGGGTGCCTCCTCCCTGGAGAACACAGTGGAACTGCACATTTCCAACAGCCACCCACTCTCCCTCACCTCTGACCAGTACAAGGCCTACCTGAAGGACTTGGTGGAGGACATGGATTTCCAGGGCCCTGGGGAGGCCTGAGCCCTCACTCCTCATAGTGTGGCCTCTAGCCCCCCCTCCCCGCCCACCACCCCAACCAATAAACTGGTTCCTGCTGTAGTCACTGCTTGTGTGTCTGGTGTTGGGTGCCCTCTGACCCAAGCTGCTTGATATTCCTGGTCAGGGTCTCAGTTTACCCATCTGTGCAGCTGTGCACAACTCAGGTGCTCAATGCATGAGGACCAAGCACTGCAGGGGACAGCTGACCCTCCTCACCTCTTCCCAGGGACCTGCTGGGTGATGGCTGCCCCCATTTTGTAGACCAAGACACAGGCTTCGAGAGGCACAAAGTTGAGGAAACACAAAGGCCGGCCAGAACTGAGGTCCCTGCCGTGCTATGAAGTTTGGGCAAACAGCCCTTCTCCTTCCAGGCCTCACGCCCCCCGTGTGGGGCTGGAGGGGAGCAGTGCTAGAGAGGCTCTGCTGCCACTCTGGGGCCTGCGAAGCCTGCCTGCCCTCTGAACCTGGGCACTGTCGTCTCTCCTGGCTGGGCCTCAGTTCTGGGTGATGAAAGTGGCAGAAGCCAGTATAGCCCTACTGCTCTGTGCCTCAGTTTCCCTCTCGAGAGGGTGGCTGAGAACACTCCAGCTTCACAGGGGCTGCTGAAAAGAGAAGCCCACTCGATGGGGAACACAGATCCTGCTTTTGGGAGCAATCCCAAGGCGGGCACATGGCACCCAGGGGCCCTGAGCTGGGAGGATGCTGATCAGGTGTGGCCCCAACCCCGCTACTGTGAGCCACTTGCTCCCTGCCAGAGACGATGCTAAGCACTCCACCTGTGTCTTGTTCAATCCTCACAACACCCACTGTACAGATAAGGAAAATGAAGCCCAGGGGAGGCAGCTACCCCAAGTCAGTCTGGTCTGTCTGTCTCCCACCCTTAGCCTCCTGGGAGTCCCGCCCCAACCCTCTGGCAAATTTGTCCCTGAAAACTAAGGGTTAGAACCATGGTGCTCCGGGGAGATGTTTCATGAAATCTTTAATGAAACTGGGGAGAGGGGCACGAACAGAAGGGAGGGGCACTGGGGACAGGCTTTGGGGCAAGGGATGTGGGCATGGGGCAGGGCAGGGCAGGGGGCTCTCCTCTTCCCTGCAGCATCCCTCCCCCAATCATCCCACTGATGGGGGAGGGAAGTGGGGAGGTGGAGCCATAAATATGTCCAGAATTTCAAAGAGATGAGGGGCGAAGAGCTGGCCAGGGCTCTCAGAGAGGGGGCAGGGGCAGACCCGGGCCACCCTTGTCCGGGGGCCCTGGCTCCTTAGGTGGCCGTGGGGGCCCCGGGGGGTCCCCTGGCTTGCGACCGTGCTTGCGGAAGTAGCGGTAGCGCTGGACGTAGGCCCGCACCAGGTTGCTCACCTTCACCGGGTTGATCTCCCCGCTTTTGCTGTGGCAGATCTGGGGGACCGGGGACAGCCAGAGTCACCACAAGGCTCCCGGGGCCCCATCCACCAGGGCTGCTGGGCACAGCTTGGGACAGGAGCGCTTCCCCAATAACAGGCCAAGATCCCTCTGTCCCCATTGACAATGGGTCCCCCAGGGCCAGTGGACCAGGCCCAGGTGGCCTTGAGAAAATCTCATCATCCCTTCACCTCCCAGGCTGACCTCCTCCCCATCTCCCATCCGCACCCATCTGCACACATCTGTCCCTCCAGCTCGTCCTCTCCCCGTCCTGTGTCTGCCCCTCTCTCTCCAGGTGCCCACCTTGTGGACAGCCTTCCTCAGAATGTCCTTGTACTCCTCCTTGGTGATGTCCTTCTTCTGGTAGTATGGCTTAATGGCCAGCTTCACCTCCTCCACCGCCCGCTCCTGCGTGTGCAGCTTCTTCAGATACTGGGGGTGGTGACAGCAGGGAGGAAGGGATGGCAAGGGCCAGTGAGTACCGGAACCTCCGCCTCCGCTGGCCTCTGCAGCCAGCTTGGCCCTCTGGCCGCCCTGCTGTGCTTGGGCTAGAAGTCCTGCTGAGGGTCTGTCCCAAGCGCTCTCTGCTGCAGCATCCCTCCCCCAATCATCCCACTAATGGGGGAGGGAAGTGGGGAGGTGGAGCCATAAATATGTCCAGAATTTCAAAGAGATGAGGGGTGAAGAGCAGGGACCTGAGACCAAGGGCCAGCCCTGGGCCACTGAATGTCACTGGACATCTCTAGGCCGAACCCTGCATACCCCAGGCCTGGCCATGCCAGGTGTTACCTGCCCTCACAAAGTTCTGTTTGACAAGGCAGGCATTGGCCAAGCGATTACAGCTGGTTTTGAATCAGACTACAGGCAAGGCTACTTCTAAGGACAGCAGGAAAACTGCACAGTGCTTTTCACCGCAGGACGGGAGGACACAGTTTAGGTTTTGTTTTTTGTGATGGAGTCTTGCTCCGCTGCCCAGGCTGCAATGGGGTGGTGCAATCTTGGCTCACTGCAACCTCCACCGCCCCCCCCTCCCCGGGGTTCAAGCAATTCTGCTGCCTCAGCCTCCTGAGTAGCTGGGATTGTAGGTGCACACCATCACACCCAGCTAATTTTTGTATCTTTAGTAGAGACAGGGTTTCACCATGTTGGTCAGGCAGGTCTCAAACTCCTGACCTCATGATCCACCTACCTCGGCCTCCCAGAGAGCTGGGATTACAGGTGTGAGCCACCACGCCTGGCCTCCAGTTCATGTTTTTATAATACTGCTCTGGTCACCAAGGCGGTAGACAGAATGGCTAGGGCTGAGGGGCACTGGGGAGTGAGGGTGAGGACTGTCCTCAGACCCATTTGCATTGGAAGCCTGGTCTGCCACTCCCCGGCTCCAAGCCCTGGGATGATCAGCCACATCTTTCTGTGGCTCATTTTGTATTTCTTTGTTTTTGAGACAGGGTCTTTCCCTGTCACACAGGCTGGAGTGCAGTGGCACAACCATGGCTCACTGCAGCCCCACACTCCTGGCCTCAAGTGATCCTCCCACCTCAGCCTCCTGAGTAGCTGGGACTAGAGGTACCACCACAACATGCGGCTAATTCTTGGATTTTTTGTGGCCTCACTATGTTGCCCAAGCTGATCTTGAACTCCTGGGCTCAAGCGATCCACCTGCCTGGGCCTTGCAAAGTGTCGGAATTACAGGCAGGAGCCACTGCACCTGGCCACCTTTGTGGCTCATTTGTAAGACAGGGACAGCACCTATGGGGAGGACTACACCGACACACGTGGAGGACATGGCACAGGCCAGGCACAGGACTCAATCCAGGGGAGCTGAGCCTCTTCCCAGAGGAACGGCCAAGTGGATGAAAAGGAGAGGACAGGGGCTGGGCTCATGCCTGTAATCCCAGCACTTTGGGAGGCCGAGGGGGCGGATCACGAGGTCAAGAGATCAAGACCATCCTGGCTATGGTGAAACCCCATCTCTACTAAAAATACAAAAATTAGCCGGGCGTGGTGGCATGCGCCTTTGGTCCCCAGCTACTCGGGAGGCTGAGGCGGAAGAATTGCTTGAACCCAGGCGGAGGTTGCAGTGAGCCGAGATTGCGCCACTGCACTCCAGCCTGGCAACAGAGTAAGACTCCGTCTCAAAACAAAAAAAAAAAAAAGGAGAGGACAGGACGGGGCAGGGCAGAGAGCCTCTGAGGCAAGGCTCTTCCCACCTGTGGCCAGCAAGCTAGGAGATCCAGCAGCCGCAGCTCTGGCCTCAGGCAGAATCTTTGTCAAAGCAGACAGGAAACCTCTAGCCAGAGCCACGTGGGACCAGAGAACAAGCCCAAGCCTTCTGCAGGCACAAGGGATAGTCCCTTGGCACCACCCTTCGGGGGAGGCTGCCTTCCCAAGCCAGGTGATTATTCCCCATAACCCAGGGCCAAGCCAAGTGGGGGCAAGTAAGCTGAGTCCTGGGAAGGCAGGGCACAATGGCTAACAGAGTCCAGGGACACTGTCTGATGAGCTGAACTGTGAGGGCAACTCTGTGGCCAGGAGAGACACAGGCCACCGGGAGGGACTCCTCAGGCTTGCCTGCTGCCACAGTAGGAGGGTCTCTAGAGAGACACCGCTCCCCAGCACCCATCTCAGATGTGGCAAAAACGGGCAAAGGGCAGAGCACAGACCAGGGCAGAGTAAGGGCCACTGCAGATGAGAAGGTCCTCACCGTGTCACCCTGCGGCACAGGGCATGAGCCACGGACAAGTGACGGGCTAAGCTGCAGCCCCGCCTCTGCGGCTCACAGAGGGATGTTTCATGGGGTTTATCCAGCTTTATCTGGCACCGTGAACAACTGCGTGAAGGTATCACACCATCGTCTGGCTATGGGCTGCTGGACTATAAGAAAAACCGTCCAGGCTGGGCACGGTGGCTCACGTCTGGAATCCCAGCACGTTGGAAGGCTGCGGTGGGAAAATCACTTGAGCCCAGGAGTTTCAGACCAGTCTGGGCAACATAGCAAGACCCCGACTTTACACATAATTAAGAAATTAGCTCCACCATCAAATGGAAGTAGTATAAAAGGTATAAAAAAAAAAAAAGGAAAAGAAATTAGCTAGGCACGGTGGCGCATGTCTGTCCAGCTACACAGGAGGGTGAGGCAGGAGGATCCCTTGAGCCCAAGAGATCAAGGTTGAGGCTACAGTGAGCTGTGATTGTGCCACTGCATGCCAGTCTGGATGACAGAGGGAGACCCTGTCTCAAAAACCAATCAACCAAAAAAAAAAGCAGCAAACCACACACAAAACCCTTATCAAGACCTGACCAAGAGAGAAACAGGCCCAGAGCCCAGGACAGGAGCCAGCCAGAGCCACTGAAAAAGAACCCGAGTTACTGCCTGACTGGCATCCATTCTCCCTCCCTTCATCTAGACACAGGGGCTTAACTTTTCATTCAAAAACCACCCTCCCCCACTGACACAGAGAGGGAGAGAGCGTGAGCAACAGGTAATCAAGGGGTGGACTGCAGTGCAGTGTGTGTCTATGTGGGGTATATGCACACCCCCCACATGCACAGACACAGTTTTCCTTTGGCCCCGCCCATCGCGCTTCCTGCTCCTCCCTTCCAGGGGAAGTTTAGTTCCTGACACCTTCCTGACTTTGGCCTGGAAGGCCCTGTCTGCCTGCCTCAGTCTCCCTTTCTCCTTGAGCCCCTGAATCTCAGTTCCTGTCTGTATTTTCTACAGAACTGTCACCATCAACCCACCTCTCCCTAGGCCAGCTCACCTTATCTGTGTCCCCACGTCCCTCGGAGCTGCTGCTGCCCTCTCTCTTGTCAGAAGTGGCAGCCAGCCCGGTGGGGGTAGGAGGGGTCGAGCCGCAGCCCCCCAGGGGGAGGCTGCCAGGAAGCAGGTAGCTGGAGGGGCCAGGGGGCAGACCCAGAGAGGTGGGCACAGGAGCTGGGGTCACCCCCAGACTTGAGGGTGGCTTTCTGTGGCTGAGGATCTGTGGGAAGAGGATGGAGGGATGGTGAGTAAAGGGAGGTGACAGGGAAGAGGGGACGTGCACCCCACTGTTCCCACGCTGACTTCCCCACAGCCGAGGCAACAGGCTCCTCTTCAGGCCGATACCTTGCCCCAGAGCTGCCGGGCCTGCGGTTCCTCTCCTAACCCGAGGCAATGGACAAAAGAAGGGGCGGCAGGGACTCTCCCCCAGGGGAGCCCACCTGGTTGGTGGCCTGGATCAGCTCCTGGGCCTTCGCTCGGCTCGCCAGGTTGGCTTCTTCCATCTTGAAGAGAAGTGCAGTCACTGCAGGAGGCAGAGAGGTGACAACATGGAGATGGTAGGAGGTGACAGGACAGGAGCTGGTGAACCTCACCTGAACACTCGCTACCATCTCCTGCCCTGGGCCCCAGGACAGCCACAAGGCCCCACACTTAGAACTAGGAAAGGGGACCGGGCGAGGTGGCTCACGCATGTAATCCCAGCATTTTGGGAGGCTGAGACAGACAGATCACCAGAGGTCAGGAGTTCGAGACCAGCCTGGCCAACATGGTGAAACCTCATCTCTACTAAAAATTAAAAATTAGCCAGGTGTGGTAGTGCATGCCTGTAGTACCAGCTACTTGGGAGGCTGAAGCAGGAGAACAGCTTGAACCTGGGAGGCAGAAGTTGCAGTGAGCCAAGATTGCACCATTACACTCAAGCCTGGGTGACAGACTGAGACTCTGTCTCAAAAAAAAAAAAAAAAAAAAAAAAACTGGGAAAAAGGGGGCCTCAGTCAATGAGAATGACCCCCATCCCGAATGTTCTTGGGACTCCAGGTGTGTGGGTGGGGGGGGCTGGCCAGGGTCATGCGGTGAAGAGATGGTTGCAGGAGTGAGATTCTGTCTCCTGACCCCCTGGAAGCCAGTCCCATCCTCTCTCCCCACCTCTGTAGTCTGGTTGAGGCAACTGCCATCTGCAAGGAGCACAGTGCCCTGCGCAAGTCATTCTTTCTCGTCCCTCTATCCTAGTTCCCTTCTAAGGAAGCCCTGAACCTAGCCCAGCACTCCACTCTGGGCTGGCTGCCCCTGCTGTGGCCAGCCCCTCTCTCAGTCCACCAAGGCACCTGGAACCTCTGGCCAGACCTCAGCTGGCCTCACCCACCCCACCCTCCCAGTCCATGTCCCCACAAACCTCCTGATCCAGAGCACCCCACCGCCTCCAAGTCTGTACTCTCCGGTCCCCATCCCGTCTTGCTCACCCCAGCACCCTCCTCCCCAGGGGACACTCACAGGCCAGGACGCCGCTGGTGGTGCAGTCCACACCAGCTGGCAGGTTCCAGGGCATGGGCGGGGGCAGCGTGGGCAGCTGGGAGACACGGGAAGCCGGCCCGTCCTCCGCCCCCGAGTCACCGGCTGTGGACCCCGCGCTGGGGGCAGTGCTTGGGGCGGCCGCAGCAGTGCTGGTGGCCGTGGTGGTGGCAGGCTGCTGCTCCTCCTCCTCCTCTTCTTCCTCCTCCTCTTCTTCCTCTTCCTCCTCCTCCTCTGCACCCCCTCGGACCCCAGCCTCCTCAGTGGCCTCCTCAGGCAGGAAGGAGACCTCGGGTGTCTTGCAGCTGCTGTCCACAGTCTGTGAGTCTGGAGTGAGGGCAGGGGGTGGTGGGGCTACCTTGGGGGGTGGGGTGCTAGGGACCTTGGCTGCCCGTTCCTCTCCGGACCACGAAGTCTCCTCTGTCCCCTTGGTGCCTGCCGCCTGGCTGCAGCTATCCGCCTTGGACTTCTTCAGTGACACCGGGCCACCACTGCCCCCGCTACCGCCTCCACTGCGGACCTTTTTCCTGGTCTTGGATGGCTTGGTCTTTCCCTTGGTCCCCTTGGCTTTCTTGGCCCCTGCCTTGGCCTTGACCTTGGTCTTTTTGGGCTTGGTGCTGCCCGGAGCTGCTTTGGCCATCTCAGTCGGGGCCCGCTCGTCGGGCTTGAGGAAAGGGGAGCGACTCTCCCGGTCGCGGCTGAATTTGACGCCGATGGAGCCCAGGCCGGCCGACGCGGCGTCCTTGGCCGGAGTGGTGCTGCTGACACCCTCGCGGATCAGCACCGCCACCTTGGACTGCAGCTTCACCTTCCGGGACGAAGAGGAGGAGGACGAGGATGAAGAGCCTGAGCCGCTGCTGACCGGTGGCTTTGGCTGGGGCCCTGAGGAAGGCGCCGACTCCTTGGGGGGCCGGGCCTTCTTGGATGACCTGTCCCTGTCCCTATCTCTGTCCCTGTCCCGATCCCGGTCCCCCCCGTCCAGAGCCTTCCGACGAGACCCCTTCTCCCGGGAGGAGGAGGAGGAGGAAGCAGCCCCCGAGCGGCGCCGGTCCTTCTGGCTGCTCTTGCCGCCCCGCTCCTCGCCGCTCAGTCCCTCAGAGTCGTACAGGACCTCCCGCTTAGGTGACGAGGCCGGGGCGGGAGAGGGTCCTCGGGGGTCGGACTTGTCAAGCCGGCCCACCGTGATGGTCCGCTTGATGGCGAAGAGGTCGTGGTCCGTGAGGTCCTGGATGGAGGGCGGCACGGCCCCCCGGCGGCGGCTGTCGCGGTCACCACCAGAGGTGGAGCCGGAGGGCGGCGGAGCAGGTGCCGGGGCCTTCTCGCTGCCATCCCCAGACCGCTTCTCGCCCCGGGACCGTGACCGCTTCTTCTTCTTCTTGCTGCCGCCACCGTCCCGGTGTTTCCCGCGGTGCCGCTCACGCCTCGAAGACGACGATGAAGAGGTGGCTGGGGGTGGGGAAGCTGAGCGCCTCCGCCGCCGCCGCTTTTCCCGGGACCGCGACCTGCGGCTGCCTCCGCGGCGGCGGTCGGTACTGCGCGAGCGGCGGCGGGTGGAGCGGGAGCGGGAGCGGGAGCGGCGGCGGGCAGACGACGAGGTGTGGGAGCCGGGCTTGCGGTCCCGCGAGCGGTGCTTCTTGGAGTCCCAGGGCGAGGCTGGGGCGGGCGGCGCAGGCTGGGTACCCGACGAGGACGAAGCCGCCTCCTTGGCCTCACCGCTGCGCTTGCGCTCCCGCCGGGACTTCTTGCGCGTGGGGGGACCCACCGCGGCTGCCGGAGCTGGCGCAGGTGCCGGGGAGGGCGAGCGCTGGCGGTAGCGCTCCCGCCGCTGGGTCAGGATCTTGCGGCGCAGGTCCAGGCCGCCCCAGCGTGAGTCAGCAGCAGGCGGCGCCGGGGCTGGCTCCCCCAGGTCCACCTGCAGGGCGCCCTCGCCATCCGACTCCGCGTGCAGGGACAAGAAGTCATCCCCCTCGGGGGCCCGGGGAGCAGGAGGCTGGGGTAGGGGCTGGGCCGCAGGTGTGGCCGAGGCGGCGGGCGGAGGCCGGGTGGCCCGGCCGCTGGGGCGGAAAAGGGACAGTGCCACCCTGGGCTCCTCCTCTGGCTGGACAATCTCGCCCTCCTCAATCTCCGAGTCGCCAGGCGGCAGCAGGGGCGGCGGGAGGGCGGCTCCACCAGCGGTCACCACCTCCACAGAGACCTTGCCTTCCCGACAGGCCTCCGCCTCGGTCCCCACGACGAAGACCCGCCGGCGCATGGCTCCATCAGCCCGGGTGGAGTCCACCTGGGGCGGTGTTCCAGGGGCTGGAGTCGGCTGTGCGGGCTGTGGGTCCGGGCGGGGGCTCTCGTCACCTGGGAAGTCCTGGCTCAGGCTGTTGTCATCGTAGATGCCTGCCAGGGTCTCCGAGATGCGGCTGATGCTCTGGGACAGGCCCTCCTCCTCCTCCTCCTCCTCTTCCTCCTCTTCTTCCTCTTCCTCCTCCTCCTCTTCCTCCTCGGGTGAGGGGGTCCCGGCTGATGAGCTGGGGTTGGAGCCAGTGGGCTCGAAGGGGTCGTACTTTTGCTCCGGAGCAGGTGGTGGAGAGTAGGCCTCGTCGGTGGGGTGGAAGGGGTCATAGATGTCGAATCGGGGGGCAGGTGGGGCTGGGGGTGCAGGGGGCGGTGGGGGTGGGGGAGGGGAAGGGGAGGAAGATGAGGGAGAAGGGGAAGGGGAGGAGGACGCAGAGGAGGGGGCAGGAGGTGGGGCAGGGCCCCCATCTCCCGTGCCCAAGGTGAGGTGACGGGCACAGGTGGGCCGAGAAGTGTTCGACTGTGGAGAAACTGCAAAAGATCAGTAAGAGAGAGGCGATCAGGGCCTGTGCCTCCCTCCTGGCGCCCACTCCCTGGCCCGGCCATGGACACTCCTTCCAGGAAGCTCCAAGTACTTCCCAGGGGCCAGCCGTAGAATGCTCCCGACAATTGAATACCATGATTCTTAACCCGAGGGTCACTGGAGGAAACTGAGGCAGAGGGCTGCAGTATCCTCCCCAAGGGCACAAACAGAGACAGCAGTCAGGGTATAAACTCAATGTGGCCCTGAACCCGCACTCCCATATCCTGAGACACAGCACTGGCCTGGGCACTGTACCCTGGCCACGAAACTAGGAACTACCTCTACCAGTGCTGGCGAGCAATCCCATGAGGTGGAGGCTACAGTGAACTATGACCACAACACTGCACTCCAGCCTGGGCCAAGAAGAAACAGGAAACAGGCCGGGACAGCAGAGCTGGGGTTCAAACCTAAGCCCCCCTCCAAGACAAAAACAAGCTCCGGCCTGCAGCACCAGCTGCCTCTCGTGGGAGTTTCTCCCACGTGGTAGAGGAAGAATGGGAGGCTTACAGGGCGAGATTCCGGTGCAGAGCCAGGAAGTGGAAGAGCTGGGGAGCCCAGGAAGCCTGGTCCTCACCCCAAGGTCTTCACTCTGCTGAGTCCCCACCCAAGGGATTACACCTGCTCAGGACTCAGAGACACCACTGACCAGTGACGGTGGCGACGACAAAGGTTTGCCACCTCTGTGGCATGGGGATCCTATGTTACCTCGTTCACCCCTCAAGGGCCCCACTATGTTGTGCTAACTACTACCGTCAAAATGCCACAGTCACACGATGGAGACAGAGGCCACACCACAGGCAAGGATGCCAGCGCAGTGGTGTGAGGACAGCACCAGGAAAGCAAAGGGGTCTAGAGGGCAGCACCGGAGCGACCCCTTGATCCAGAGGCCCTGGATCAAGGCCCTCACCAGACACATGACCACAGGCAAGTGGATCCATGCATCTGCCTGTTTCCTCATCTATAAAATGGGGGTTTCTTCATTCATTCAACACCATTTATGGCAGGGCGGGGTGGCTCATGCCTGTAATACCAGCACTTTGGGAGGCCAAGGTGGGAGGATCACTAGAGGTCAGGAGTTCAAGACAAACCTGACCAACATGGTAAAACCCATATCTACTAAAAAAATACAAAAATTAGCCAGGAGTGGTGGCGTGTACCTGTAATCCTAGCTACTCAGGAGGCTGAGGCAGGAGAATTACTTGAGCCTAGGAGGCAGAGGTTGCAGTGAACTGAGATCCCGCTACTGCAGTCCAGCCTGGGCAACAAGAGTGAAACTGCTTCTTAAAAAAAAAAGAGGCCAGGCGCAGTGGCTCACGTCTATAATCCCAGCACTTTGGGAGACTAAGGCAGGTGGATCATGAGGTCAAGAGATCGAGACCATCCTGGTCAACATGGTGAAACCCCGTCTCTACTAAAAATACAAAAATTAGCTGGGCGTGGTGGCGCATGCCTGTGGTCCCAGCTACTAGGGAGGCTGAGGCAGGAGAATCGCTTGAACCCAGGAGGCAGAGGTTGTGGTGAGCAGAGATCGCACCACTGCACTCCAGCCTGGGTAACAAAAGTGAAACTCCATCTCAAAAAAAACAAGAAAAAACATAACCTCAGAGTCCCTCTGAGAACAACTAGTATTAGCTTCTGGATACACCTATGTCCCTTTAAGGCCCAGGGGCCAAATCCAGCATACCACCTGTTTTCCGATATCAAGTTTTATAGGAACACTGCCCTGCCCATTCATTTACTTATCCTCTACAGCTTCTGATTTTAAAGAAACTGAAACACTTTTGTGGGCCCCTAAGAATGTCACAGGTCCTAGGACCATGTCTCTGTATTTAATGGATAAATAGATTCCAGCTGTTAAAAAAATAAGGCAGTGGGTTGGCAGTGGGGCTCACGCCTGTGATCCCAGCACTTTGAGAGCGAAGGCAAAAGGATTGCTTCAGCTCTGGAGTTCAAGACCAGCCTGGGCAACACAGCAAGACTGTAATCCCACCACTTTGGGAGGTTGAGGCAGGCTGATCACTTGAGGTCAGAAGTTTGAGACCAGCATGGCCAACACAGTGAAAGCCCCTCTCTACTGAAAGTACAAAAATTAGCTGAACGTGGTGGCACACATCTATAATCCCAGCTACTTGGAAGGCTGAGGCAGGAGAATCACTCGAACCCAGGAGGCGGAGGTTGCAGTGAGCTGAGATCGTGCCACTGCACTCCAGCCTGGGTGACAGACTCCATCTCAAAAAACGAAAACAAAAAACTAGCCAAGCACAGTGGCATGCACCTGTAGTCCCAGCTACTCCAGAGGCTGAGGCAACAGGATGGCCTGAGCCCGGGAATTTGAGGCTGCAGAGAGCCATGACTGTGCCACTGCACTCCAGCCTGGAAGACATAGTGAGACCCCGTCACACACATAAAAAAAGAGAGAAGGTAAACGTGACCTGGCACAGAGGGGTGCCTGCTCTACCACAGAACCGGTGCTCATAGCTCATGGCTGGTGCCCATAGCTGACTGCACCTTCCTCTCCTCTCCCTCCACCCCCTCCTCCAAATAGGTATGTTCATGCAGAAGGCAGGCCTAAGCCCAGGGTTCTCAACAGAGTCCAGGGCTCAGCAGCCTGTACTGTTTAAAATGCAAATTCACAGGCCCCACCCCAGACCTGCAGAATCAGAACCCCTGGGAGTGGGCCCAGCGAGCTGCACGTGAACAAGTCCTCCTGGCAATTCAAGCTTGGCCTAAACTGCTCACAGAGTTACTACTGTGTGCAGGGCTGGAGGAGGAGCAGACTCCTCCTTGGGCAGCACATATCTCAGAAGTCAAAACCTTGGGCTTCAGACTCAGACACACCAGGACTTGAGGCCCAGGCCCCTCATGAAGCATCTGGCTGTACGCCCTAAGCAAGCACCTTCCCTTTTTCAGACTGTCTGCGCCTATGGAAGATAGAGACTCGAAGAGTCCCCCTCCTGGGGAGATGAGTTCCCGATGCAGTGACACTAACACTGAGCGTGCAGAAACCAAGTGTCTCACACACGCTAACTGCTCCCCCGCGGGCCCGGCACATTGGTTTTCACTTTATATACATCTGTTTGCACCTATAGCCCTGATCACATCTAATACGAAAAAAGTGAAAGGTTTTGTCTAAATGACATGATGAACACGACGTCACTACCATCACTGCCACGAACAGCCGATCCCCACACAAGTCCAAGGCCACCTGCCCAGCTCCGCCCTGACCCCACATACCCGTTTTGCCCGTCCTCCACGCCCTGAGCCGGGGCAGCAGGCTGGGCACAGGCAGAGGGATGGGATCTCTGTCCCCGATTCGAACCTCGGCCACCAGCTCCAGCATGTCCTCACTTCTGCAAGGTGGAAGAGGTGGGTGAGCCTCAGGGGTGCTTTTGGGATTCACACCAGGGCCTTTCCCACTCCAGGTGCCAAACTACTCACTCGCCAGGCCGCAGGTCCAGGCGGCTGGGAACCCAGGTATCCGGGGGATCCAGGACACTCACCAGCCCTGCGAGGAAGCTGTCCGCAGCCATGTCCAGCACCTAGAAGAGGCCAGAGAGGCTCTATGCCGTCCCTGCTCACATGAAGATTGGCAAATCCTACTGCCCCACTCCCTAAGAAAACTGAGGACCTAATTCCTGTAGCCTGACTGCCATCAGCACTCAAAGCTTAGGCCCACAGATCAGCCCCCAGACTCTCCCACGTTGCCTCGGTCAGCATCGCAGAGCCAGGAGTTCAGTCCCAAAACCCCACCCCCACAGACTCAGGGCCCCACCCCTTCCTCCCTGATGCCCTGAGTCCGGCCCCCAGCCCCCTCCTTCTTACTCACAGTAGCCGTGTCAGTCCCCCCTGATTCCTGGGAACGGGGCTCTGACCGTGGACTCCGGCAGCGCCGCCATCGAAGGCCATGACACCGAGAGCCATCTGGAGAGAGATTTGCATGGGGGATTGGACACAAGGGACTCGCCGCAGAGACTTGTGGGGGGAGAGGAAAGAGGAGCTTGATCTAGTTCCTGACAGTGGAACCAGCCTCCGCCTGCTCTCCCGGCCTCCACTCACCACCTCCCAGGAGGACTTCCCAGCACCCGTTCTGAGTCACCGACGCTCTCAGCTATTCGTCCTCCTATCTGCCCTCAGACACCTCAGCCTGGCATTCTGGCCTTGCTGGGATCTGGTCCCCACAGACCTCTCCTGCCTCCGCCCACCCCACTCACACCCTCCTGCATGCCAGCCCCAAGGAACCTCAGCGCAGCCCCTCATCGCTGATGGGCTCTTTCACCTCGTGCTGCAGGCCTACTGTGGCCAATCAGGCTTCCCTCTCATCCAAAAACTAGTAGGTCCTCAGAGACCCCGTTCACCTGTCCCCACTCTGGGAAGGTACCCTGACCCGTCCCCTACCATGCTAGCTCAGGTGGGCCTTCTTCCCCCTCACAGCACGTGCCTGTCTCCCTTCCCCCAGATGACGGGCCCTTCCAAGGCGGCCACGGGGTGTCTGCCCCATCTTTAACTCCCCATACCAGCACAAGGGTAGCACCCAGGAGCTTCAGAAAAGCTTACAGAATGACAGGATAAAGAATGGAGAGGGGGCGGGGCCAAAAGGAACTGGGGCCATACCTTTGTCATTGGGCAGGTCTCCCTGCAGGGAGCTTCCCACGGCCTGCTGGATAGCTCGCTGCGGAAGGGGGTAAGAACCAAGTGTCAGGGGACCCAGGCAGATGCTTTACGACCTCTGCCCCTTGGGAGACAGACACCCCAAACACTGACAGCCAGACTCATGAGCTTCATGGGAGCCAAGAGTCCAGGGCCTCTGCCTCGGGCTCCTGGAGTGTGGAGGCCCAGCTCCTCCATCCCTCAGCGCCAGGAGCCCAGCAGCCTCACCAGGATAAAGGCAGAAGGAGAAAGCGTGGGATCTCTGTCTGGCGGCCCATCTCCCCGGTCCTCGCCCGACTCCTCCGTCTTCCCTCGAGACTCATCTTCTTCCTCCATGGTCACCTGGAGGTCCAGGGGCGAGAGTTTGGAGTGGAGGTTCCAGGAGAAAGGATGGAAGTCGAGGATAGACATGAAGACCTCAAGGGCCCCACGCTACCTCTCTCACCATCCTCTCTGGCACCCCTCCTCTCCTCCACCTCATCCCACTCTACCCCATGCTTGGGCGAGTGCTGGGCCCAACACAGTCACCCCAGGGACTAGGAGCCATTCTCCTCCTTTTCTCTGGATTTCAGGTGCTCTTCTGTCAAAGGGAGGCAGGCCTCCCCGGCTTCCACTTTTACCATCTCATTCCTCAATTCCCACAGCTTCCCTCACAACCCATCCAAACTTCAAGACCTCGTTCCCTGGCCTCCTAAGATGCAAAGCCAACAGCGAGATTTTTGTGTGTGTGCTGCACTGTGATTTCAAAGAGTGCATTCCACAACAGGCTCCCAAAGCCGGTGTGCTGGGCACCAGTCAACGCCACGCCTATAACGCCACACAGCTTCCTAAAGCATCAGCTGTCCTCGATGACTACCCCTCAATCTTATTTATATACCTAAGTTGCAACCTTCATAGAGTAATCTGCAAAACCAGTAAGCCATTTTTTTTTTTTTTTGAGACAGTCTTGCTCTGTCATCAGGCTGGAGTGCACTGGCACGATCTCCTTGCAACCTCTGCCTCCTGGTTCAAGCGATTCCCCGCCTCGGCCTCCCAAGTAGCTGGGACTACAGGCGCGAGCTACCACCCCCGGCTAATTTTTGTATTCCAGTAGATATGGGGTTTCACCATGTTAGCCAGGATGGTCTTGATATCCCGACCTCGAGATCTGCCTGTCTCGGCCTCCCAAACTGCTGGGATTACAGGCGGGAGCTACCGTGCCTGGCCCAGTATGCCATTTTTAAAATGAAATCACTAAACTTTAGAAAGGCATGATGAAGAAAAACTTCCTAGGCGGCATTTACCTACAGCCATCTGCCCAGAGCCTTTGCAATATCATGGAAATTCTTTGATATGATTCCCCAGTCAGGCGGTTGAAAGATCATCCATCAAACAGGTGGATGTCTTGATTAGGGCTTCAGAAAAATATGAATATTTCAGCTGTAAGATTCCCCATGACTGTCAAATCTGCTACTCCTAAAACAACATCCAATCTCAAGATTCCTAGAAAGCTTCAAAATCCCTAACCTACAACTCAGTAGGCTTAAATGTAAATGCACAAGATAGGAGTATCTATCTCAGAGAGTGACTGTGAATACTGAAAGCCTGACTTCTGCCACACATTTAGAGCACATCAAGTGCTCAATACAGATGAACAGGAAGGACACTATTGGCCCTTAAGGCCCATGTTTCCCCTTCATCTGTCTCCCGGCTTCCCCCACAGCATGCTAGCAAAGACAACACCTGGGTCCTGTTCTACGTCCCTCCATAGATTTTCAAGCCAGGCTAAGCTTCCACATTCAGCCTCCCACTCCACCTAGTTCCTCACCTCCTATGACACACCCAACCCTGATAGTCTGTTACATCCCAGCCTCTTTCACCAATACTCCATACGTTCAGCCCTGTGGACAATTCCTGGCCCTGGGACTGCTCTCCAGCACCTCCCAGGAAAGCACATGGCTACCTAGAACAGTGACTGTCACATATTAGAAGCTTAATCAACATCAGCTGCCTAGACTCAGGGATCCCCAAGCCCTCTGCAGTGCATAAAGATGCTTGCTTGCTCATTTAGACAGCACCAGGCTTTGCAGACACACCCTCAGCTACTCAGATCATTTGGACAGAAGAATGCTCTGCAGATACTGCCAGGTCCTGTCTGGATCGCTGGTTTCCCCAACTACAGGGTCATATAGCAGTCTAGTGCTTCATAAATAACTTGTTATAAAAAGGAAATAGAACAAAACAGCTCTTCACAGCACATCACAAGTAGTAAGTGGAAATGTCAATTCATGGAAGGTGAGTTAATGTTAACACATTATGTTACATAATGTTAAATATATTATGTTGGTCTGCACTAGGTCGCATTGAAAAAAATGTATCTTAATGCAAATCACCGTCAAAATAGCTTGAAAAATACTGTAACAGTGGGTCCAGATGACCCTACAGACTCTTCCAGACTAATGTAGATTAATTTTAACTCTCTCAATAACCCTAGGGTAATGTAGAATTTTAAAACATTTTTCATTTGAATTACTTTCTGAAGGGCAAGTACATCTAAGATGGGCAAAATTTCCTCATTCTCTTCCTGTATTTTTCACCACAAGTTTACCTGTCCCCAAAGACATTCGAATTTGCTCCAGGCATAAAAACTGCATTCCTGCAGTCACATTAACGCCATCTAGATGGTTCCAAGTCCTTCTATCTGCCCCCAGCCTCCTGTCACCCATTTATTAGACACTACCCAAACCTTGGAGACCCATCCAAGACCCTTGGTACATCTCAATATTTGGCTCCCACCCCTGGTGGGCATATCCCAACCCCCTAGGTGGCCCTAAAAGATTTCCTAGTCCTTGAACAGTTCTTCCAGGCCTGATAAAGGACTCCAGACCTATGCAGACCAGTTGCATCCTCAGACCAGCCCATGTAGACACTTTCCAGCCCTAACAGACATACCCCAGGCGCTCTAGATGGCTCTGAAGATACTCCTCGGGTCGTGTAGACCCTACTTCACCCCTGGGACATATCTCAAGATCTCAAGATGGCCCCAGAACCCTCTAAGCAGACCCTAGACTCCGGTCAGCCCATAAAGACGATCTACAGTGTCTACAAACACAATCCAGGCCAGCTATGTGATGGAGGGCAGGCGTTACGCTCGGTCCAGGCCCAGGGACGCCCCCAGTCCTCTCGGAGATGCCCCATAGACGCCTCCAGGAACCCACGGATACGTCCCGGGGCCCTGAGAAGGCCCCCCTCTCGGCACCAGGTTTCGCCGCAGCTGCCGGGCCCAAGACCGCCCCGTTAAGCCCTCCAAGCCCCGTGGCTTGTGGGGAGGACCCCGGGACAACTAGCGACCCGACTCCGCCCCGCCCACCCCAATAGGCCCGAGCCCCGCGGCCCGGACCGCCGCCGCCATCTTACCCCGCCGCTCGGGCTGCGGCTCCGGCCCCGGCGCGGGGCGGGGCGGGCTGGGGCGGGGCTCGTGAGCAAAGGAGGAGAGAGGCGGAGCTAAAGTGCCGCCGAGCTTGCCGGGATTTCAAGTACCGAGCACGGCGCCGTGAAGGCTCGTGGGAAGGCAGCTGAACTCGGTTTCCCAGAAGTCAAAGGAACACATGGGGCGGGGCACGCGCGATGCACGCCGGGCGACGTAGTCCGCGCACCGCCTCTGTCGCGCGGGGACAGCGAGAGGGTGAGAGGTGAAGTGGGCGGGGCCGCGGAAGCCCGCGATGACGCCCCACAGTGCCCTGCGCGCGCGCGGAAAGGGTGGCGAAACAGGAGGTGACGTAAGAGGGGCTAGACCGAACAGATACAAGGGAATTGTAGTTCAGCGGAGTGAACACGACTTGCTGGATGTTGTCCTGCCCACATTCTGGGACTCAGAATCCAGATCCTCCAGGCCTCCCTAAATTTAGAACCAGACGGGATGCAGCAGCGCACACCAGTAGTCCCACTCCCGAGACTGAGGAGGATGGATCGCTTGAGCCTAGAAGTTGGAAGCCAGCCTGGGCAACATAGGGAGGGCCCGTCTCTAAAAAAATAAAAAATAAGCCAAACGCGGTGGTTCACGCCTGTAATCCCAGCACTTTGGGAGGCTGAGGCGGGTGGATCACCTGAGGTCAGGAGTTCGAGACCAGCCTGACAAACATGGTAAAACCCCGTCTCTACTAAAAATACAAAAATTAACCGGACATGGTGGCTAACGCCTATAATCCCCAGCGTTACTTGGGAGGCTGAGGCAGGATATTCGCTTGAACCCGGCAGGCGGAGGTTGCAGTGAGCCGAGATCGCGCCATGGCACTCCAGCCTGTGCGACAAGAACTAAACTCCGTCTCAAAAAATAAATAAATAAAAATAAACTTAGAACCCAGGAGCCCGACCCCATAGCCTCCTCGTTCAGTACAGAGAAGTCCAAATTCGGAATCCTCTCACTCAGGGCAGAATCCAGACTCCTCCCTCGGACTCGGGAGTCTGATTTTTCCTTCCTCAGACCCAAGAGTCGGTCTCCCAGACTAGTCCTGGTCTCAAGCTCTCACATACGAATTCGGGTACCCCCAATACAGTACTCTCGCTCGGACCCATTATCCCGGGTCTCCAGCCTCTCCAACCCTTGGACCCAAGAGTCCTGGTCCCCGGCTCCCTCCTTTACCGAACTTAGTAATAAGGACCCAGACACCTTCCTCCCTGACACTCTCCTCCCCAGGGCCCAGGAGTCCACATTTCCAGCCCCATTTTCTCCTAGGGACCCAGGAGTCTGGGCCCCCGCCTTCCTCCTCCAAGACCCAGAAATCCTGGCTCCAGGCCCTTCATGACCCGGGCATCCCGACTTGGGCGAGCTGGCTCATGGATTAGGAATGCAGTGATCTCACGGCCCCTCCCTGCCCCGTTACCCCGCTGTCCCCCTTTAGGGCCCCACTCCCCTCCCAGTCTGCCTTCCGCTTGGCTGGGACAGCGGGAACCGGAAGCCTGGGTCCCTTAGCGGGCGGAGACTCCCGCTTCTAACCCAGACGCCCGGGTCGAAAGCTTGGCTAGGATCCCAGGAGGGAGGTGGAGCTTCTCCTCAAAACCTGCTGCTGCCTCGGAGCACCCTATATACGGCCGCGCGCGCGACTCTACGAGCCCCGCCTACCAGACTAAGGCTTCGGAGATGGTCCCAGGGGTCCTTATTTGCATATCCCCTCCCCTGACGAGCTTCCCGCCCTGACTGCTCAAAGAATTATTTGCATAGCCAAGCCCACATACCGCCCTCCCGCTGAGAGCGCGTGGCGGCTCTCAGGGCGAGCACAGGTTTCTCATTAGCATATGCCCGCCCCATTCGGAATTCCCCTTCGCAGCGAACCCCGTTCCCTTTCCCTTATTAACATAGCTCCTCCCTCTCCTTGGCCCGTCCCCCTCTTTAAGTGTCCGGAGACGCGAGCCCTCCTAGCCAGAGTTCATGATTATGCAGTAGCCTAATTAGCGTAGCCCGCCCCGCCGGGTCCCGCCCGGCTCCCCCGCAGGCGGTAGCGAAGGCAGCAGCAGCGGTGGCGACATGAGCAGCGGGGCGGCGTCCGGGACAGGGCGGGGGCGGCCCCGGGGCGGGGGGCCTGGGCCCGGGGACCCCCCGCCCAGCGAGACACACAAGCTGGTGGTCGTGGGCGGCGGCGGCGTGGGCAAGAGCGCGCTGACCATCCAGTTCATCCAGGTAGCGGGCCCTCACCCGGGAGGGTGCCCCCGGGAACCACAACTGAGCCCTTGGGGGGATCCCCGAGACTCCTGAGACCCTCTTATAAGACCCTCTAATCTTAAAAGATCCCCAGAGATTATAACCTAAACTCTTAGAGAGCCTCCGCCCCCTCCACGGGGGACCTTCCTTCTGCACTCGAATCCTGAGACCGCCCCCCCCATTCCCTCTCCCAATGCCTAGACCCCGCTTACCTGCTGACCTGGCTTTGAGTACGTCCTGGGAGCATGCTAAATATAGAACGCTCACCCCATTCAGACCCTAAGCAGTCCCAGGCCCTCCCACACACACCCCTCGGTGCCACCTTCAACCACCCTTAGCCCTATCTCCTCCAAATCCCAGAACGCCAGTGCCCAGCATCTTTGAGATTCCCCCACGCTCGATTTTTTTTTGAGACGGAGTCTCACTCTGTCACCCAGGCTGGAGTGCAGTGGTACGATCTCGGCTCACTGCAACCTCCGCCTCCCAGGTTCAAGCGATTCTCCTGACAGCCTCTCGAGTATCTGGGACTACAGCGCATGCCACCACACCCGGCTAATTTTTGTATTTTTTAGTAGAGATGGGGTTTCATCCATATTGGCCAGGCTGTTCTCGAACTCCTGACCTCGTGATCCGCCGGCCTCGGCCTCCCAAAGTGTTGGGATTACAGACGTGAGCCACCACGACTGGCCCTACATTAGATACTTAGCACCTTCCATGACCTCCCCCAGAATCTAGAAAGTCTACCTGACCCTGGCGCTGAGACTCTTCTTGGACTACCCAGTCCTGAGAGTCCTGCTCTCTGCCCCAATATTTAAAAAGAGATCTTGCCCCTTGGCCATTCCGGAAATCTTCAAGACCCCAAGTGCTGACAGTCTCCCATTCCTCGAGACCCAAACCTCCACTCTCCCAGCCACCCCCAAGGAAAACCAGCCCCTCATCTATCTTGTGTTTTCCTCCACTGACTCCCCGAGCCTCTCTCAGAAACCCTGGATAGCTCTCAAGTCATCTCCATGGAAGAAGCCCCCAGATTCTTTTTTTTTTTTTTTTTTTTTTTTTTTTTTGAGAAGGAGTTTTGCTCGTTGCCCAGGCTGGAGTGCAATGGTGTGATCTCAGCACACAGCAAACTCTGCCTCCCAGCTTCAAGTGATTCTCCTGCCTCAGTCTCCGGAGTAGCTAGGATTACAGGCATGTGCCACCATGCCCGGCTAATTTTGTATTTTTACAAAATTAGAGATGGGGTTTCACCATGTGCCCAGGCTGGTCTCGAACTCCTGACCTCAGGTGATCCACCTGCCTCAGCTTCCCAAAGTGCTGAGATTACAGGTATGAGCCACTGTGCCTAGCCAAAGCCCCCAGATTCTTGACACCCCCAGAAAGACCTACTCTTTGGGAGTTTCTCTGGCCCCAAAAATGCATCTCAATGTCTCTAAGGCTGTCTCTACTATAACCTCCCAAACGCCCCTGAGCCACCTCCAGGCTGGCCCCCAGTTCTCGGCCCTGAGCTTCTCTGGCAGTGCTCTAAAGTCACGCCCCTAACTACCTGCAGAGCCACAATCCCTCCCAGGGCCTGGTCCTTACTTCGCCCCTCCAGGACAAGCCCTCAACAAGCACCCTTATAAGTGACAGATGCAGTCTTCAGACTCCTAGCCTCCAAATCATCCTCTTTCCTGAAATTCCATCCCTGCCTGGGAAACCTCCTCCCTATTCCCGAGGGAGGTCCTCCCCACTTCAAAGAAATCCTAAAAAAGTGTCTGTGCCTGAGATGCTACTGCAGAGGCCCTGAGATCCCAGGATCCGCCCCCGCCCCGACCCAAGAGACTCCAGCAAGGGCCTGGGAGGGAGCCCTGCTTGTGTAGAGAAAGGCCCCCGCCCTGGGCCCCTTGCACCCAGAGGCAGTCCCAGAGCTGGCCAAAGGCCTGGCTGGAGGCGGGCAGGATCCAGGCAGGAAGGGAGGGGCCCGGGCCCGAGGGTGGGGCAGCCTCTCCGCAGCCGGATTGGAACCGGGACCTTCCCCTGGGAGGAGACACTGGAGGCCGCCTGAGGAGGAGGAGGGGCAGGGGAGAAGGAAGAGGACAGGGAGGAGGAGGAGGAGGCAGAGCAGGAGGGAGGGATATAGAGAGGCAGTCTGGACAGCAACGGCTCTCATAACTGATAACGTTCGGTGTTTAACCGGACTTGCTCCAAACCTCCCTGATGCTGGATGGGATATAGTACTGTTCTGAGCCTCCTTTTCCTTTTTTCTTATCTTTTCTTTTTCTTTCTTTTTTTTTTTTTTAAGACGGAGTTTCACTCTTGTTACCCAGGCTAGAGTGCAATGGGGCAATCTCAGCTCACCGCAACCTCTGCCTCCTGGGTTCCTGCCTCAGCCTCCTGAGTAGCTGGGATCACAGGCACGCGCCACCATGCCCAACTAATTTTTTGTATTTTTAGTAGAGACGGCGTTTCACCATGTTGACCAGGATGGTCTTGATCTCCTGACCTCGTGATCCACCCGCCTCGGCCTCCCAAAGTGCTGGGATTACAGGCTTGAGCCACCGCGCCCTGCTTTCTTATCTTTTCTTTTTGAGATGGAGTCTCACTTTGTCACCCAGCTGCCCAGGCTGGAGTGTAGTGGTGTGATCTTGGCTCACTGCAATGTCTGCCACCCAGGTTCAGGCGATTCTCCTGCCTCAGCCTCCCGAGTAGCTGGGATTACAGGTGCCTGCCACTGTACCTGGCTAATTGTTGTATTTTTAGTAGAGACGGGGTTTCACCATGTTGACCAGGATGGTCTTGATCTCCTGACCTCGTGATCCGCCAGCCTCGGCCTCCCAAAGTGCTAGGATTACAGGTGTGAGCCACCACGCCTGGCCATTAGCCTCCTTTTTCAAATGAGGAAACTGAGGCTCAGAGAGGGGAAGTGATTTGTTCAATGTCACACAGCTTGGATGTAATCACAATGTGGGACATGTACCTTATACTGGAAAGAGAACCAAGTGTGACTTCAGAGAGAAGAC